GCTAAAGAATTCACTATGGTTTTTACCTGGATGAAAACAAGTCAGTTAGAAATTCCAATATATTATTTGTAGCAGATGGGGCGATTTGCCAGGAAAAAAACCTACTATAAAGCAGACTCTCACAGGATGAAGGGGTTTGTTGCACACTTTCACCTGACATTACCCCTTGGATTTATTATTATGCTCCATCTAGCCTGGTTTGGAAGAGCAGAACTACTATCCATATTTGGCTAAAAATGCCTCATCCACTATCCTTCTAGTGGGGCACCGTTTCCTGATCTTCCATAAGTGTGATGCATAGAGATTGTTGCAGAAGAGAGGTTACTTACTAGCCACTGTTTTGAGAGTCGCCTCTGAATTCCTTACTGCCCACTCTCCCCTCCTCCATATGACCTCAGGCTCCACAGTTGCAGACAGGCTGAAAAGTGTTCAGGGGGAAAGCAGGAGCAAAGCAGATCCATAGCTTGATGAAAGGGGGCCACATCTCACAATTGTGACAGCCCACTGGTGACTGTTGATAACAGTTAACGGTACATGTTCTTTCTTTAGTATCTCAACAGGGAGAGCAATGAACACAGTATTCAAGATGTGGGCGTACCATAGTTTTATACAGGGGCAGTAAGATATTCTGTCTTATTTTCTATCCCTTTCTTAATCATTCCTAACATCCTTTTTGACTGCCGCTGCACAGTGTGGAAATTTTCAGAGAACTATCCACGATAACTCCAAGATCTCTTTCCTGATTTGTCGTAGCCAAATTAGCCCCTATCATCCTGAGAGATCTTTTTTTTTAAATATTCACACTGTGGATCACACTCAGGCCACAAATATAACCAGTATTCATATTAAAAGGAGCACAAGTTGAAAACACATGTATGGTGCAATTTACTCATTTTCTTTCTATCACAATGAGTCTGTGTCAACTTCAGAAATCTGCATCTTCTTTCAGTACCCAGGGGTCAAGAGAAGTAAATTCCATGGCTATCTGTAAGTTCAGTTTATTCTGCAAAGCACTACAGTGACATCACAATTAGTCTTTGATAGCAATTTAGCACCTAGTAGCACTGGGGAGAGAGGGGACATTTCTTCTCTGTACTAACTCACATGATTTTAATGAATGTATTATTTTATAATTAATTCAGAAATACCTGAGAGCTTCACAATGGCCTCACCACAAGGCTCCAGTTTAATCGCAAGAAAATCTAGAATACTTGCTATGGAATGTTCTGTTAATATGAATAGCAGCATAAGTATTTTGCCGGACATCAGCTTGGCTTTTATCTCTAGAAACAGCATAATCATGCTAACTGCTGAGTTTCCTTCAATCTCAAGTGTACTAGGTTCTGTACAAAATTGTACATTCACAAAATAGCATGAAAACGGCATGAGCTGGCAGCATTCACAGCCTTACAGCATCTAAATCTGAGGAGCAGGACTGAAAAATTGGTAAGTTATTTTTTAATGTATAATTTCTATCACTAGGACAGGTGCAAAGGGATAAGCAGCTCTAAACATCTGTTAATTTTGAATACTCTCATTTTCTTTTCATCAGCTTGACAGTGAAATGGAAATGTATATCTACATTTAATAGAACAGTCAAAGGTGTGTTTATTAGGCTACTGAAATACTTACTAGATAGGCACGAGTCAATGCGGACCTGTAGATAAATCATCTTGTATCTTACTTCTATATTTCTAGCAATTAATTTTATTCGTGTTACAGGTTAAAGAAGGGGAGACAGATACTTAGCTAGTGTGAATCATTGTGGTTCTAGTTGGAGGCAGAGTAATGACGACTTACACCAGCTGAGAACTTGGTTTTGGAGGGGGAGAGATTTTATAGCTAGAAATGAGCGCTTCGGGCCATAAATAGGTGTTCCTATGATATATGTGCACAGGTTCAAGTTCAAAGAGTTGAGGTCCATAGAGGCTAGCTCACTTTAGTGTTTATTTTATTCAACAATAATCTAAGGAACCAACAGGCCTGTTTCCTGAGAGATGTTTCCTTCAGCAGTTAGTATATAAGGCTTCAGCCTTTAAGCTTGATAAATGGCTAATGGCCACTTTTAGGAGTTGAGGAACTGAAAATAAGTGTGTGTAAGGGGAATTTTGTCCATAAGGACACCAGATAACTGCAGGAACAAAAGCTAACACACCAGCATTTGGTTATAATATTGTCAGATGTCAAACCGTAAGAGTGCCATGTCAACAAAGTGACCTATAATGATACTGGGTAATGAGTGAGATCATTAATATACTAACATAGAAAAGGAGACCCCCAACTAGGGATGTAAAAGAGTAGTTGAATAGTCAACTACCTGATAAGCTTAGGCTTATCAGGTAGTTAAGGTACTTGAGTTGGCTACTCACATTCCCTTGCTGCCTCTCCTATATCAGGGGACTGCTTAGTCCTGGCTAACAATGCCCCTGGGAGCTAACCCTGCTGTGGCTCTGCAGTTTAAATGTAGCAAGAGCCAGGCTGCCTACTACATTTAAACAGCAGAGCCACAGAGTTAGTAGTGAGCGCTCCCCCCTTATTGACTAATCGAGTAGCTGATTATCTGCAATTCAATTAACATCCCTAACCCCAACATGAGTAGGGGAAGGAAATTCAGATAAGGAAGATGGAAGAAACCTATCAACAAAATATATTAAGTTGTATCCCAGCCAGTGTGCAGAAGGAAAGAGGTGCCAGGATGATGGCCACTGGTGAGAAGGAAGATAATGGCCAACATGTCAGGTTGTTCTGCAATAGGTGGTGAGTACAGCGTTAGTCAATTGTAGATTCTGTACTATTTCTCTGTCTACCTTACTGCATTAGTGTGACCTTACTAAACTATTGTAAATACAGTTCATATAGTGTGAGTGTTGCAAATGGGACATTAGGTCCCCAACTATACAATAATTTTAATACTGGGCCTCATCTTGGGACAAGAAGCAGTTAAACCTCAGAGTGGTAACTAAGAATTCTTAAGTAATCAGTACAATAATACATACTCTAAAGATCAGGCTACAGGGTTATATTGAGCTAAAGAAGAATTAGCCTTCCTATTTAGGTACAGATTCTTCTCTCTCAGCTTCAGATATGCTACACATCATCTTTCTCTCTCCAACTACTTTCATGCTTACACACACTATCAGCCTTTCTTCGGATTCTGTCCTTGGCAAGTGATATCTATTTATGTGGTGTTAAGTACTGCCACTATACTGATGAGACAGACTTGAGTTTCCTTTCCATGTGCCTTTCTGACCTTGGTTTCTAGATGTTTCACAAGCTCAATTCATTCAGGACTCCTGAATCAGGAATCCTGACTACTGGTCAGGTGTAAAAACCCTTAATGTCATTTTTGATTGATTAAGACTACTTCTGTCACTTCAATAGTATTGCTAATACTTGCTACTTTCA